TGTGTTAATGTTCCACCTGGACTGTGCCAGAGTGAGCACTTGACTTGAGTCCCCTTGCCTCCACCACCAGGAAGACGGGCATTAGTGTTGTACCCACTTTATGGAGGTGCAAATAGAGGGTAAACCTCTAGTGTCACTACATGCAGCTGAGCAGCAGAGCCAATTCCCTAAGATGTGACTTTCAAGAAGCAATCCCCTCCCACGGAGCAAATGGAAGAAACATTTACCAAACACTGAGGACACAGCACAGCTACTCACAAGGGACCAATCAGTGTGCTAGTACTTGACTATGATTCCACAGATGAGGACATGGGGGAGGGGGGTTTCTTAGGAAGGGACTGTGGCTCTCAACCCACTGTCACATGCTCGTGTCCCATAGCTAAGGCATACCCCTCCCCACTCTGTATGCAGCATCCATCTCTGGGGCCCAGGAGCCACTGCCCTTTGGAATCTTAGCTACGGCCCCCAGCAAAGCTCTGGAAATATGGAGAAATGCGTGTTCAAATCCGAGTTCTCTTACTTGCTGTGTAACTTGGAGGCCATCTTAACCTCTCTGAACCTTGCTTCCTTTAGCTGTAAAGTGGGTGGGTACGATGGAGCAGCCAGTTCTTAGTAGCTGTGAACATTCAATAAATACCCAGGTCCAGGACCCTCAGGGGTCTCTACATAGTATTTGTTATCATTCTTGACCCTATACCCAGGGCAAGCATCTTTATAGGAGACACTGGGCATAGAGCAGAAAGAGTCTGAAGACAAAGGCAGGGACTAGCCACATGCTCCAAGCCAAGGGACACTAGAGACTAGAACTAGGGAATAAGTGGGGACATATTCTCCCAGCCCGCCTCCAGAGGCTCCAAGTAGGCAAACCCCACATCAGACTCCTACCCTCTAGGGCCTGAGTAAAACATTTCTGTTCTTAAGCCATGCGGCTTGTAGAAATTTGTGATGGCAGCTGAGAAAGAGCCACAGCTGTGACAGCTATTGTGGCTGCCACCATCAATCCTGCAGACCACTCAGCCCTGCACTCTCTCACAAAGGAGCAGCTTGAGACCACCAGACACAAGTCTAACAAAAGGCACTCGCTGAAGCCCATCGTCATGTACGGACCAAGGCCCAGTGGCTCGGGGATCCCAGCTCAGCTGACTGGCAGACCAAGACTTCTTCATCTGTCCTGTCTATGTCTTCCCATCTTGCCTCCTCACTCCAACCACCATGGTCCTTGGCCATGTCTGCAGCTCTCTAGCACGGTACAGGGTCCCAGCTTGTATGTGATACTCTTAAGGCCTTACAACTCTGCAAGCCTTCATTGCAGGGCTCCTTATGGGACACTGAGGGTGGCCTTAGCACTCTTGTCTGGGCGGATCTTCAGCTTGCTGAACCCAGAGTCATCCATTCTTACTATGATCAGACAGCAGTCCTGGGCAGTATACAGGTTTGCACAACTCCTGTTGACATAAAACTGCTAGCCCAGGACAACCTGTGAGTGGTGGTGTCTGCCATGGTAGGTCCTCGCACCGGGTAGGTGCTCCCAGCCACACTCTATGATTCCACTGTCAACCATTCTCATGGTGCCTTGGCAGAACCACACTCCCATCCAGATCCTGTGTCCCTTTAGTCTCTTTCATGTTAGCCCGAGAAGTGGGCCTTGTTATTCTTCTGCTGTCAGTTAGGGACCCAAGGCTCTGTCCTCCTTCCTGCAACCTGGCTGTGCCTTGCTGATTCCCCTGCCAGCTATCATCTCTCTGCGAGCATCATAGCAGACTGCTCCTGCCCAGGGGCCTTTCTTCCTAACTACTTCCTCATCTGAGGTTCCCATGGGGAAGAAGAAATGGACCTTGGCAAGTCCAAGGGTCTGGTTTGGAGGGAGAGCAGGGTGGGTTAGGTGCCCAGATTCTAGGCTGGAGAGGCACCTGCCTCCCATGCTGACCCCAGTGCTCTAGGTAAAGGTGGGAAAATCTGACCACCCCTGTGATACGTATATGTGACACTCAGCTGGTACTGGTAATGCTGGGAGCTAAGGACAACAGGAGGAGCCGTTTTCCCAAGACCTGTTTCCAACATGACATCCAGGCCCACCTAGCCCATCCCAGTCCCCTTGAGCTCCTGTGGTACTGGGGAAAGGCTGAGACTGTGAAGCATCTGGAACAGTAGCCCAGATCTCCCGAAGCATTAAGAAAGGGGCCAGACACGGGACTCCCCTACATTCCCCACCCCGTAGCCTCTGACCATCAAGACAAGAGACCCTTCAGCCCCTCCTCTCCCTTCGTCTCTGTCTCTTCCTCTGACCTTGGGCTTGGCCCTTATTCTGTCTGCCGGTCCTGATGCTGACTCTTTCTTTGCACAGTGACAGTGTCTCAGCTCTCAGACAGCTGCAGGATAAGGTGGGACAGGACACCTGACCGCAGGTGAGGAGACTCAGAGGCAGAGAGCTGCAGTGTGCATCCAAGGTCACACAGGTGGCCAGGAGTGGAGTTGGGGTGCTCCCCTTTCATTCTGGAGGCAACACACTAGGAAACTCAGGGTCCACACGGGCCACTGTTGCTTATTTTGATCTGAAAGAGCCCAGCAGGGCCTCCCAATGCTCTTGACACAGAGCCCAGTGACAGAAAGCCACCCCTGTTAGGGACAGCGTACCTATCACCTCTCAGGTTTCTGTCTTGGGTCTGACCTTATACCAGAGGGGCTAGATGGCTTACAAGGAGGTGCCAGCAGTTGCAGTTGCGTGACCTTGGGTGGTGGCTTGTCTCTCACCTGAGACATGGGGACACTAGGATAATTGCACAAAAGTAATGTGTGCAGGGCAGACAGCTAGCTCTGCAGATGCTAGCGGGTGTGACATTTACTAGTGTTCCCACTAAGGATGGGTGACGGGACTGGAGGCAGGCTGTGGAGAGGTGGCTGTCTCAGGCTCTGCACACTAACTCATAGGTAGCTTTTCTGTCTTCAACTGGAGAAAACTTGGAGGCTACTGAAGGAATTCCAGCTCTCAGATGCCACATGCCAGTGGGCTGGCTTCCTGGCTCTAGAAAGGGCTGGTGGGCTTTCCGGGCTGCTGGTGGTCTGACCAATGGGCAGCCACTGCACCTACCCCCTCCTCTGTCTCCTTTCCTACTCCAGGCAGCCTTCTCTGCAGACCATCAATCACCACAGATGGGCTTGTTCCGTCCAATCACAGCTCTCTGGGAACATGGGCTGACCCGCCCCTCAGGCCTTCAGGAAGGCGAGGTAGCCACTCAGGATTCAGTGTCCTTCTGGCCTCACAATCAGTTCCCCAGGGGCCTCTCCTCAGAGCTCACAGGGCCACCTTTGCTTCTTGAAGCTGAGCGGGCAACACGGTGTCTGCAGAGGTGCAGCAGCTCTGCCCACTGCTGGCTTACATGTGTTTCTGCCATCACCTGTGGGCACACTCCAGGGTACTGGATTGACAGGCATTTGGGTGCCATGCACCTGTCATCCGCACTCCTGGGGCAGCCCACATGTGTATACAACACACTATGGTAGCTGCTGCAGGTCCCCGTGTGTGAGGGGTGCAATGTGGGGGCAGGCTATTCTCACTTGAGGTGTGCATAGAACGGGGTCTTAAGAAGCCAGGGATGTGTACTGTGTGTACAGGGGCCAGGGTGCATCTGTTGGTACAGGCATTGTGTGTTTACATGTATGATCTGAACATGTATGATGCACTACTTGTGGGTTCTCTATTGGTCCATGTGCATGCAGGAGTGGATCTATGCACAGGCATGCACCCTCGTGAATGGACTAGGTTGTGAAGGTGGGTAAATGGGAAGCCATTAGCATCCTCTCCTAGTCCTCCTCCCTCTGCGGACTCCCCAGACCGCAGCCCCTCCTTGCCACTGCTCCTTCAAGGAAGTTACCAGGCGGAAGCCCCAGCTCAAAGGCCTGCGCTCCAAGCCCCCTCCTACCTCACACGTCAAAAGAGAATTTCTCCGGATGGCAACCGCCGCTCTGGGAAATGCCCCAAACGTCAGCTCTGCCTCTTCCTAGCGATGTGGAGAGCTATGCCCAGTGGAGGGAAGCCCCTTCTACACTGCTGGGCTCAGCCTCACAATGAGACCCTCTACTCTCAGCTCTGTGGGTGACTGGCCTACTCACTTACCCTTCTGAAGGTCGAGCCAGGCTCGGCCTTTGAGGGGAACTCCCTTGATGGGGGTCGGCCAGCTGCAGGGTTCCCTTCCCATTCAGTATGTGGAGCAAAGGTCAGCTACTTGGGTTAAAGGGGGTGGCTGCCAGCACCTGACGACCATAGGAGGGAGGTTCAGATCCTGCAGGGAGGCAGGGAGGAGCCCCAGGTGTCTCAGTACTCAGAGGGGCCACCTAGGCTAGCAGGCTGAGGAGGAGCTGGGCTTCCGGGCTTAAAGTGCCAACTCCACCATCCATCTAGCATGACTGCTGCAAAATGGCCTGGCCACCCACTCCTGCCCCTGCCTGCCACGGAAGGGACTTGGGACACATCCCTGCCACCACCTGCCTGGCTTTCCTCATCCAGTAGATCCCGGTATACACCATCAAAGAGACCCTTCATAGGGGCCTCCCCTTGCCTCTTTCCTGGGACACCTTCCAGTACTCTATGTCTCCCAGGGACCAGGCTCAAGAGGAGACTAGTGTCCCTGCTGACCGGCTGCCACCACTAGCCCTTGCATAACATCCTGGGGGCATGTGCAGTCTAGAGGCCACCAGCATCCACCTGAGACCCTGCATCTCCTCCTGCGGGGCTCTTTGCTCCTGTCCCCAGCCCCCACCCCAGCCCCTCACCATGGAGTGTCCCTCAGCCCGGGCTCCCAAGCATCCCCAGCTGCCTCCAGATAAACAAGCCAAGCTCCTACCACCCCCCTCCTCCCGCCGCCACCATCAGCACTCGGGGAAAAAAAAGGCAAATGCAATCAAATCAAAATAGGTGAGGGAGGAAGGGGAGAGCGGGGCCGGGCGCTTTTTATTTTTTATTTTCTCATGCTTGGATGAGGGGAGAGATGCCGGTTACTTACTTGGCTAAGGCAATCGCCAGCGATCGGTTCGGGTTCCAGGCGGGCAGCCCGTAATCGCGGTGCGGCAGCTGGCGCCGCGCTGAGCCCAGCCCGCGCGCCTGGTCCCTGCGCAGACTGTACCATCGCGCCCGAGGCTGGGGGGGCGCGGCCGCCGGGGGAGGGGCGCGAGCGCGGACCGAACCACCCCGCGCCTGGGAGCGCGGCTCTGGGCATAGCTCCCACGGGACGCATCCGCGGCCGCCCGCAGAGCCCCAGGGAGAGGCCGGTTCCCCTCGCGTAGGAGGCCGTGTCAAGGGCACGTGAAGGGGAGGGTCAGAGCCCAGCTCCGGACGAGCAAGGGGGCGGTGAGAGCAAAGGAGGAGGCATTGCTTTTATGTGCCTTCCATAAGTCACTTTCTACTTTGTTAGATATGGTCGGGGTTCCGGGCTCCCTGGATACAGACAGGAGGGCTCTATACCTGGGAGCAAGACAGCATAAGGGAGACCACCTAAATGCGCCTATGGTGACAGGGTCTGTGGAGTACACTCCCCAACCAGCTGCCGGATGTTACTATCTACACCCCTCTGCAGCCCCACAAGCTGCCTGGGTGTGCCCACCTGCCCCAGAGTGGGGATGGGCCTAGTCAGGAGAACCGTTGAAGAGTCCATTTCACTACTGGAGTGTTAGCACATTCCCAGTATCTGCTAGGGTTATCTGTGAAGAGTTGGGGATGACCGCACTGGAGTCTAATCACGTCTGTGGACTCCGGAGTGATTCCATTTTGGAGTCTGAGGGAATAGCCTCCCCCATCCATCTGCTCACTTCCTCCTCCCTCATCTCACAGGGCAGACCTGTGGACTCTTTAATTCCAGACAGGTTCTGGCCAGAGCCTGAGTAGCCAGGTGAGGGGCTCTCATTGAATGAGGTGTGTTCTCACTTCCCTGGCTGAGGTGCCCCTGTGGCCATGCCTTCACACCTCAGAAGTGCTTGAAGTGTGCAGGGCCTATAGAAGACCTTCAAGGCTGGCGTGTTGGAACACCTGTCAGCCTGAGTGAGTGCAGGAGGGGCAAGGCAAGGTGACAGGAGTGCCCCTAGAGCTAGGTCCAGACAAAAGCTGCCTCCTTCCCCACCCCCACCTCTGCCCACCTAGGAGCCGCCCGCCTTTCTCAGCGTCCTGTTGCTGCTCCATCTCCGCCTGGCACGGAATATCAATTTGTCTCGTTAAGCTGAAAGTCTGCACTGCACCAAAATCAGAACCCGCCACGCAGAGGGGCAGAGGAGGGAGAGAGCCAGAGCAGAACCCAAGGCAGGGAAGGCCCTTGAGCAGGACCACACCACCAATACCAACACTATTCTTCTCCCCTAGACTGCTCAGAGGGTCCCACCTACCCCAGCCAAGCAGAGAAGCAGAGGTTCGTTCTCTCTCTCTCTCTCTCTCTCTCTCTCTCTCTCTCTCTCTCTCTCTCTCTCTCTCTCTCCAGGGATGTGGTCCTAAGACTCTAAGGATGTCCAGGCCTATGGTTGCCCATGTAACACCTTCCTAGGGTTCCCATTGGGCAGCCCTGGGCCCCATCAGAGGGAATCTTGAATCTTGCCTTTTGTCAATAGATCCAGGCTGGGACCCCTCTTGAAGCTGTGGATGGGAAAACCACCCCTCCTGGGAGTATTCTGACCATACCTTGGTAGGACTTCCAAGCCAGCACTGTCCCTATGTATCCCTATCCCAGGACCAAGGGCCAAGGTGGGAAGCTAGAGGCCACCCTGCCCCTCACTAGGCTAGAGAAGCCATTAAGGCCCAATGGCTCAGGGAGGCAGGCCCAGAAGGCATCAGGTGAGAGGCCTCTACAGCCCACTGTGTATCCAGGAGTCTGCCATCCTGTCTCCCTGCCTGTGAGGCAAGCCATTTTCCCTAGTGAACAGAGAACCCTGGGGGACCTGGAGGGGGGACTGGCTGGGAACCATTCATTTCCACAGTTATGTTCTTTCCTATGTCAGATAGAGAGTCACCTACAGATCAGGAAACCAAAGCTCCTTGCACCCTATGGGCTACTGTGAACACTTAGAGGAGAAAGCTTGGTGTGGCTGTCAGGGTTAAGCTACACAGCCACCTGGATAAAGTGCCCCTGTGACCGAGGTTGTGAGTCCCAAGCCCAGGCTGCCTACAGGTAGGGGGGATGCTCCACAGGGACCCCAGTACCTATCTATCTTGAAGAACTGAGCACAGACTGCCCAGTGACCTCCATGGAGACATGCTGGCTTCACTCACAGACACCAAGACTTCCAACTCTCAATCAGTCACAGATTTTGTATCTTGAAGTCCAAGACCAGCATCTAACAGAAATGGACCCAAATAGCTATTTCCTTGGCAAGTCAGGCTCTGTGTCCTTCCATCCCTGAGTCTACACCCCAGTGGTTTCTAGGCCCATGAGTTTCTGCTCATCCTGCAAAGCCATCCTGGGCTGCTTCTTTGCCAGACAATCCTGCTTAATTCCACATACTCAGTTCATACCTCTGTCTCATCTCTGACCATATTGTGCTGTGATGGTCTACAGGACTATGCTTCCTACTGGGCTGTGTCTGTATCAGATGGGTCCCTAGGGCCCTATATGCTAGGTGCCAGCACGTTACAGATGCAATAAAGATCTGAATGAATCACTGCAGTGTGATTTTGGCCTATTGAACACCAGACCCAGCAAGACCCTTGGGAACTGGATCTCCTACAAGTATAATGGCACAGGCTGAGGCTCTAGGAAAAGCTACAAATACTTTGTCTAACCATGTCTTTGAGAGTAGGAGGTAGCCACAGACACCCATCTGCCCCTGCCCTGGACCTTAGGCTGCCTCTCCTGGCTGTGGCTACTTCTAGATCACTGGGTTGCCCTTCCAGGATATGCAGGGGTCGGAGTCTGGGCAAGCTGGAGCATTGAGCAATCAGACAAACAAGGCATCTATGTTGCAACCCTGGGGAGGCTGGACATGACACGAGGGGCACCCACAGGGAACAGGGCACATAGATAGGTGGCTAGCTGAGAGTATCACCAACAGCTTTCCATCCAGCCTGAGCTGGCTCATGGTGGACCTGGTCTGAGGGTCAGGGACAGGGCAGGGATGAGAAGTAGGAAGGACAAGCAGCTGATGACTCCAGGGTTTGATTAGTTACACTGGGATTCCAGGACCAGGGCAAGGGGTGAATGTAGGAGAGCCACTCTACCAAGATCAGTCTTCTGGAGTCACAAGCCAATGGACTCCTCCCTGGGTCACTGGATTTCCACAAAGATATAGTAGGTACTCTTGAGGCCCCTGGGGAGGGATCTCAGAGCACTCTGGTAACATGGCCATGATCACCAAGAGCATCTGTATCCCAGGGGAGTTCCTTCCCAAGGCCTCTTCTGTTCTTGTCTCACAACTACATGTGGTCCCATTTTACAGGAGGGAAAATGGAGCCCTGGGGAACTGAGGACCCAATAAGAAGTAGAGGCAGAAGGCAGAGCCAAGCCAGAACCTACATGTGTCTCACTGGGGTTCCATGTGTTGCCCTTTGAGCCTACTAAAGGCTTCTTAAGTCTGAGGCCAACAGCCAGGGACTCTGTGGTTGATGTCTCTGAGTGGATTAGAATGTATATCGAAGAGTTCACGTGGCCTGGTTCTTCCACTTCTCCTCAGCTGCACCAGGGCCCACACCTACTCTCCTCCCACCACTTTCTCCAAAGTTCTGCAAGCTCTGGAGCTGGGCTTCCTGTCCTCCAGACCCGAGTTTCAAAACTAGCTCACTTTACCTTCGAGGGGATTTTGGGCAAGCAACTCAACCTCTCTGGGTCTCAGATGGCTCAACCTCATAGTAGGGAATAGTACTAGCCACTGGACAGTGGTGTCAGTCAAGGGAGAATGTCAGGTGTTAGCAAGAGACTAAACACAGAACTTGGAGGTCCCTGAGAGACACCCTATGGTGAGATGCTGGGTCTTTTACACTCCCTTTCCCTGGTAGAGGATATTCTTAGATACCTCTATAGGGGGGAAGCTGGAGTCCCACCCAAGCCCCCTGTTTCTGGCTTTTGCTTTTAGATCCCTCCATGGGAGGGTGTGGGTCTGGCTGCTGGTGATCTCCAGTGACTGCCATGCAGTCATTGACCACTTATTCACCAAGGCATAACACCCTCACTGTGAAACCCTGGGAGGTGGGACCTTGCTGTAGCCCTATTTTACAGATAAGAAAATCAAGGCAGAGCTGGAGTAATGAGTCAAAGCCACAGAGATTGGGGACACTGGGACCCCAAAAGCACAGCCCAGGTGAATCCAGCCTGGGGACCTCAGGAAGGTGAATATGGGAGCTCGATTTTCCCTCTGGTCATAGGGCAGAAGTTGTCAGCTCTGCCTCCCAAGCCAGTGGGCAGATGTGTGCCTTTGACCAGCCTGACCTCTGGGGGTGGGGGGAGGAGCTGAGGCCTACTGGGCTTTGAACTCACAAAGCAAGGAGCCAAGGAGGTTACACAGAAACGAGTCCTATAGATCTGGGGATGGAGGACCCCGCAGACCACGTGGATGTAGCATTTCAGGCCAGGCTGGCACCACCTTGTCACTGCACAGCCACTTCCCAGTCATTCACCTTGCCTTGTGACCTTGAAGTCCTTGGTCTCTTCATCCACCCCCTGCCTGGAGAACTGCTACTCATCCTTCAAGAGTCCTCTCCAGCAGCCCCTCCTGTAAGAGTACTCCCTGGATTTCCCTTCTCCATTAGCTGGTCTTCCTATGTATGTACATGTGTTCGTCATCCTATTGTACTCCTGGGGACAGGAACCTGGGTCTCATCTGCCCATGGCATTCCTGGCAATGGACACAAAGCCTCCACAGATATTGATTGGATTAGTGAGAGTAAGTTTGTGGAATAAAAACGCAATCCCTGGAACAGGTCTGACTGATGTTTGCCTTTCTTCGTGGCTCTGGAAATGTTCTTTGGACTGGGGCTTCTAGTGTAGGAAACTTGCCAGTGAATGAAATTCCCTCTGCGCCAAGTATGGAAAGGATAGAGGGGAACCCCCAAGGGCACTCAAGTGCTCCTGTCTAGAGATGCCTTCATGGGGACAGGAAGCTTGAGATTTTGTCCCTAAAAGTC